CGTTTGATGGCTATGTCAAGCAACGATGGAAAGTTTCCACTTGCCACATATTGGCTGTGTGACTTTGGACAAGTCATTTCTCCTCTCAATGACTCATTTCTTTGTCCTAAAGTAAGGATAATATTACCCATAGGGTTACTGTGAGTTCTAAGTAAATGAATGGAATCCAAGTACTTAGAGCAGCAGCTGGTACAGGCAAAGTAATATATAGGTTGCAATTATTACTATCATTTTTTTTCTTTTCCTAAAGAATTGTTCTGAAGATTACTATCGTTGTTATGTGTTGTTGTTTTTTCTCAATCTCTGAATGATTTTATAAAAAATAATACCTGGGGAGCATGAGTCTAATACCAATTTCAAAAACATGAATCACCTAACACTAAGATACACGGAGTACAAAGACACATTAAGTTGCCATAAAGCACCATAGACATCTAAGTACCCGGACTCTAAAATTGTTACTGAAATTCTACAGGACAAATACTATCCCTTGGTGTGTTTGGTGACAGAGGGAAGAAAACATGGATACATATATCATATCTCTGTGATTTAAAGACGCTAACCTATCATAGAAGACCCAAGAACTTCAAACCTTTCTAAACCAGCTGGGTGGGATGTTTTTCAGGACATAAAAAAAAATGGTACTTGAGTACTTCAGCTTTTGATATATACTAGAATCAATAATTCTTAAAATCTTGTTTTAAAATGTTTACTAATAACCTAACAATCAATATAACTCAGTTCAAATACATACAGATACAGATTAGCAAATAGACATATAGATGTTGTGTGCATATATACATACTATCTAATTAAAACTGTTCTGTTCTCTCAGCCTCTGATAATGAATTTCTACCAAAAATGTCCCTGAATAGCAGGTAACACTTCCAAGATTCGTCCAGCCAACAATTCTCAGGCCTACCTGCATCTCAGAACCACCTTGGAGAGATTTAATCAAACATATTAATGGCAATGTACAGTACTAGATTTCTAGTTTAACTGAAACCAATGTTGAGAACTGTTGGCTGGGTCAATGCTGGAAGTATTATTTATTGAATCTGAGAGACAGAAGATGAATTAGTATTTTGGGGTTTAAACTAGCATAATCATAAGAACTGGGATCTGGGATGAGAGGACACCCCACAGCCTAGATTGGAAACCTGCCCTATACTCTCTTAAACTACGCTGAATCTGCAAAACAGTCTTCCAAACGTTCTCTCAAAAATTCCTAATGACTGAAACTTAAGATTTCTTTGAAATGAAAGAACACAAAATATCATTTCACTGTACTCTGGCAAAATTGTACTAAGCCTTAGTGCCAAATACCTGGTTACACTTATTTTTTCCACCTTATTTCCTTACAATAGTCTATAATAACTATGCAGCCTGGCTCTAAGAAATGTAAATCTTTAGTTTTTTTCTCTTTTCTTTTTTTTTTTTTTGATCCATCATTCAAAACATAAAGCCTCCGCTAGATATTGCACAACATAAAGAAATTTACTGCACAGCATAAAGAAGAAATTATTTCCAAATGTTTTCGCCTGTCAACATAGTATAGGACTGGGAAATGGCTTTCTGTAATAAATTCATTCATTTATTCCTCCCTTTAAAGTGCAATACTTACTGAATGTTTGTTATATGCTAGACTTTTCTTTCAGATGCTAGAGGCTGTGAAAGTGATCAAGACTGATGTGGCCTTCATCCTTCTTTAAATGCCTTTAATGCACAGATTTAAGAAGAAAATATGGCTGTAGTTCAAATATCTAAGAGTATGTTTAAAATAATGGAAATCTAAAATAACAACACTAGAAACATCATATGGAACGATAGTTTACTAAGCGCGTACTAGAAACCAGACGTTGTGTTAGTCTCTTTATACATGGCACTCATTTAATAAAGATGCCCTCCTAAAAAAGATGAAATTACCACTTGGAAGAAATTACTCAAAGACAAACGAGAAAAATCTTTCCTTTAGCAGAGTTTAAACGTGGCCTTTCCACAGTAGAGAGAATATTCCATCCTAAAGTCGACAGGAATGAATATGGAGTTGTGTTCATTCATTCACACAAAAATTTTTTCATATTAGTTCAAGCAGATTATGAGAAGATGTTTGGGTTAAAAAAAATCACGTTGTCATAAAAAGATATTTCCAATTTCAAATCTTTTCAGTTGAAAATTCTATAAACTATATTTTAAGCATGATACATAAATATCCCCCTGTCGATATCATTGCGCAACAGTGCTAATAAATATGTTGCCAAACCAATAAAATAAAACATTACTGGGTGCAGTAATTAGTCTTAGCTTTTTTTCTTTTTGCAAACTCCAGTCCAACCAAAAGTCACCTGAACAAATCATAAATTCATAGGACTGCATTTCGGGCTCATGCAAAAAGTGGGTGACTTAACCCAAAGGTGTCTTGACAATCTTTCAAAGAGCATTCTCGGGAGAAGCTATTTGGCTCTAATCCTGGAACCGACACTCAAAAATATCTTTTTTAAAAAAACGGGAGAATGGGAACGGGGGTCAGCCAAGTTAAGTCCATTTGTAAGCTTCCGAGGAACTGACTCAAGGCAACACGTTTCTCCAACTCCAGGTTGGAGACACCGGGATTCCAAAATGGGAATGCACTCACTTGGCTTTTACAGGACAAACACGTGCACAACTTGGCTTCGGGCTGCATTCAGGTAATGCCTGGAACCCCGAGCTCCCGGGCCGCCCCCGCCCAGCGCTGGCCGCTCCATTAAGGACGAGGACCGGCTCCTGTCACCTCGCGACCCACGCGCACACACCCGCCCCCGGCCCGCCGTGCTGGTTGCCGCGGGCCTGCAAAGTTTCCGCGGCCGCTCACTTGGGGGTAACTAGCCAGGGGTACGCCCGGAGGCTGCGGGGCCCTGGGCGCCTCGGCTGCGCGGGCGAAGCCCCCGTTATGCAAGGGTCGCCGAGACCGGCTGAGCAAGCAAGTGCAGCCGGGCCGCCCAGACGCTGGGTGTGCGGCTGAAGCCGCGGGGAAGGGCAGGGGGCTCGGCGGGCCGCACTCACCGTCTATGTTCTCCCGGTCGCTGATGTGCTGCAGGTTGCAGCCCGTGTCCTCGCGGCTCAGGTCCGTGTCTGGCCGGTAGGACTCCAGCCGGGAATGGGCATTCCTCCGGAGCTTGGGGCTGGACGACACGCAGCACGAGGTAGTGTTCCCCATCTTCGGCGGCCCCCCGACTCCTGCTGCGGTCCTGTTCTCCCCGACCCGGGTCGGGCAGACGCGGGGCGCGGGCGGCGGGGGCGTGTGGGGAGGCCCGCCCGCTCGCCGCCAAGGGAGGGGGCGGAAGCCGCGGCCGGCCGCCGGGTCAGCAGCGGCGGCGGCGGCGCGGCCTCCCATGGTGCGCGGCGCGGCGACGAGCGTGGCGACGGAGCCCCGGCTCCCCCTCGGCCGGCCTATCCGCGGCGGAGGAGCGCTCGGGTCCGCGCGACTGCGGCCGCCGCGCCTACCTCACCCCGCCGCGGCCATGGCGGGCGGCGCCGCGCAGGCCGCCTCCCCCCGCGCTTCCCGGTCGGTGTCCTCTTCCCCGGCGGCGGCGGCCGCCTCCTCAAGAGGTTCCGGTTCAAGCCGGGGGCACGCGTGTCAGCGCCGGACTACGGGACTAGCCGGCGAGCTAGCGGGCAGCGGGCGTGGGCGCGGCCCCTGGGCCCCGCGCGGCGCGGTGCGGCCAGGGAGGATGCTGACGGCCCTCCCCCGCCAGCGGCGCCCGCCCTCGTCGCAGCCCCCGCCCCGCCCCGTCACCGCCCCTTCCCTCTGCCCTGGAAGCAGATCGGCGGCCGCGGGGAGGGCCGGGGCGGCGCGGCCCGGCGCGGCCCGGCGCGGCCCGGCGCGGATGTGGGATCGCTCCCGGGGGCCGCGCCTCTCTCCGGCGCTGGGGTCGCGGGAGACGTCGTCGGGAGCTCAGTTTCTGGAGGCCCTTCCCCACCCGGCCTCTACCTCCTCCACTCCCCCGGGCTGGACGGAACGGGACCTAGCGCGGTGTGCGAGGTGTGTCCCCGGGACCCGCAACGGGCGCGAGTGCAGCCGGGGCCGGATTGGGGACGCAGGCCCAGGGAGCTGAGGCTGCGCCTGCCTCTCCGAGACCGGTCTGGTTCTTTTTGTCTTCTTCTTTTTCTAATTTATTTTTTTAGAGATACGGTTTCGCTCTGTCGCCCAGGCTGGAGGGCAGTGGCGCAATCTCGGCTCACTGCAGCCTCGAACTCGTGGGCTCAAGCGATTCTCCCGCCTCAGCCTCCATAGTAGCCGGGACTACAGGCGCGCGCCACCACCCCTGGCTAAGGTAGGCAGTGTGTGTGTGTGTGTGTGTGTGTGTGTGTGTGTGGCGCGCGCCACCACCCCTGGCTAAGGTAGGGGGTGTGTGTGTGTGTCCAAAGCAGTGAGGACTACAGGCCACCGCCACTACATCAGGCTAAGGTAGGGTGTGTGTGTGTGTGTTAACTTTTTGTAGAGAGGGGATCTCGCTTCGTAACACGGGCTCCTGACCCTAAGCCAGGCTAAGGTGGTGGATGTGAGTGTGTGTCTGTGTTAACTTTTTGTAGAGATGGGATATCGCTTCGTAACCCGCGCTGGTATCGAACTCCTGGCTTCAAGCAATCCTCCCGTCTCGGCCTCCTGTGGGATTATGGGCATGAGCCACGGCACCCGGGTTTTGTTTTTGTTTTAGCATTTAAAAGAAGCTGGGCCTTGATTTGGGAGTTCTCTCTTCTATTATATTTTGAGCTTTGCCGAGAACTTGATGGTGACCTTGTTTTAAGCTGTGAAATAAATCTTGAGGTCCCAGAGCTATTTTAATGTTGAATTCGCTGTGGAGTTTTTTTTTAGTTCCTTGGAGGTTAACGTGAGGTAGAGAACTAAATTAACAAAATTCATCCACTGCCCTTGCTTTGCTTTGCTTTTAGAATGCCTGCGGGTTTTGTCGTGATGGGGACAAGTTCACTTAGGCCAGTTGACTAAGATCAAGGTATGTGAACGTTCCTGGCTGTGAGAGAAGTACAGTAAATGTTGGTTCGCATTCCCTCCCGTCGCCCATCCCTGACTTTTCTTGCCTTTATTGGGAAGAATATAAGGTGGAGAAACAAACTTCCCACCCTTTTTCCAAATATTTACTGAGGAGAGTCATGAGTCTGGTCGGGGGGTGGGGGGGCTGGGAATTTTTTGAACTAGTTCTTGAAAAAAAGACTAGTATGATAGTACAGCTCTCTTAATTTTTTATATGAGGAAACTGAGGCCGAGAAATGAAATCATGCCTTGATTTATTCAGACCTCAGTACCTGTTAGTGACAAATCCAGGTACTAAAAGGGAAGAGAAGGAATAAGGGACTTGGTATTTGTCTAGCATCAGCAATGTGTGGACATCTTGTGAAAGGCTTTATAAACATTTCATTTAATTCTCTACATCTAGCCATGTTTTAACCTGTGCTTTCTCTCCCTTTCCAAGTACTGTTTATACATTTATTAGTCCATATTTTAAAAGCTCCATGCTCTCGCCTGTATTAATGCTATTTGTTAGGATAAGTAGCAGATGTCCATGGAAAATAAGTGGCTGCAAAGTGGTAATGCTGACCAGATGAGAAAAGAAGTGTGAAAGGGGAATTCTAAAGAATTACAGCCCTGGAGAGGGTGGGTAGACAGCAACAGTCCAAAATAGTGCTCTTCATTGAGGCTGTGTAGACCTTCCTGCTTCCTGGGAAAGCTGATTGGGGCATATTTACACTTGCATGTGTGTATTCAGATTGTCTGGGCTATGCAGTTTGGGTCAGATTGCTGAACCCTTGGGAGAGGAGTTCCCTTGTTGTCTGTTCTGATTGCTGCTTTGTAATTTGGGCCATATATGAAAGTCAGCATTCAGTCATTGAACCATAGGTGTGTGGCATATCTACTTAGGCGCATTACGCAATTTTTATTTCATTATAAAATGTATAACATTTACATTCAATTGTGGTTTGAGGGCTTAAGAGGAGAAAGAGACAGTGGCACTAAGGTGACTTGCTTCCTGTCCAGGCAGGTCACTGGGCAGTGTTAACTGGGAAGAGCATCTGGAAGACCAGAGATCAATGTAGCCACATACCCTTAACAAAGGGTGGTACAGCCTGTGGTCTGCCGGGATTTTTCTTCCCCCGCACCATGCCTATCTCCTCTTTGACATTTCCACCATATTCCCCTTAGGTATGTACCTGTTTGGACTTTTAGAGTGTAACTTTTGGTCAAGAATCCTGGAGAGAAAAGATAGGTACTAAAGCCTCGCTAGTGATTTGCCTGGTTGCCGACCCCTGCAACTCACCCACCCTACATGCACACTTCAGACTCCTCCAGGCAGATGCTCCCTGCCTGACACACAGTGACACTTTGGGAAAAATTGCAGAACAGTAACCAACTCTAAGCAGAGAAATGTGATGTCAAAATGATAGTAATGAGAGATGTCATTTTTTGAAACCCTGCTAGCTGCCATGCACTGTACTATTTCTTACATCTAAATCTGATAAGTTGTACCCCATTTTATAAATAGACACTTTAACTCTGATAAGTAAACCTATGCAAGATCAAAATACTGAGAAATGTCCTAACTGGGAATTTGAACCTGGTTCTAAATTCCGAAGTCCAAGCTACATCCACGCCAACCTCCTACCTCCCATCTCCGGGACTTTATGAGTAGAAAAACAAGTGTTGCTTCTCTCCTCTTTTTTCTGTCCTAAAGGAAGCTGGGAGCTGACCACTTAGGACTAGTACTAACCTTTAAGGGAGAGAAAGGGATGAGGGTAGCCTTGTTATTTCTGTGGGGTTCAGCCCTCAGACCAGAGTAAGAAGACAGGCAACAAGGTTGAGGAATAGCCATATGCAGAAATAACGTGTATCTAGCCACAGCATCTCCAGCACTGTGTCACTCGGGAATCAAAATACAGGGACAGTTCCTCAGTAGAGTGTGGATCTAGCCCAGAATGTGGACAAGGGGAGTGGGGAAGGGGAGAGGTACACACTGAGCACTGTAACAAGGCCTGTCCTCAAGCTTGAGGAGGATTAGGAGGATGGCTTGAGTCTGGGAGTTGGAGGCTGCAGTGAGCTATGATTGCACCACTGCACTCCAGCCTAGGTGACAGAGTGAGACCCTGTCTCTTAAAAAAAAAAAAAGAAAGAAATTGGCCTGGATCTACTCATACCCACCCTGCTGTTTGAGCAGAAAGAATCTTTTGGGAATTATTTTATCTTTCTCCATGATCACTGTTGAATAATTTGATCACTGTAACCAGGTAAATATAAAACTTAGGTGGGCCGGGCATGGTGGCTCACACCTGTAATCCGAGCAATTTGGGAGGCCAAGGCGGGTGGATCACAAGGTCAGGAGATCAAGACCATGCTGGCTAACACGGTGAAACCCTGTCTCTTTTAAAAATACAAAAAATTAGCCAGGCGTGGTGGCGGGCGCCTGTAGTCCCAGCTGCTCGGGAGGCTGAGGCAGGAGAATGGCCTGAACCCGCGAGGCGGAGGTTGCAGTGAGCCGAGATCGCGCCACCGCACTCCAGCCTGGGCGACGGAGCGAGACTCTGTCTCAAAAAAAAAAAAAAAAAAAACTCAGATGAACTATAGCTAAGTCAGTGCTCTCGATGCTGTTTTAGCAATAGTAGCTTTGTTTTTCACAGAAAAAAACAAAATTTTCTCTGGAACCACACTATTTAAAACGTAAGCGATATTAGTATCAACTTGTATAATTTATAGATCTACTTATAAAAACAATCAAGAATAGGCTACCTTAATTGAATCAGGAGGAGATAATTGCAGTCTTACATCAGCCATACTCATATCCATGAAATATGAGTCAGTCATTTGCACAACTGCCTGAGTCACCTCCTGGAACACAGAAAACACTGAGCTGAGTTAGCCCAGGACCTGAACCTTTCGTGAAAAGGAAAATGTGTAGCGTCTCCTCGGGGTATGGCTGCCCTTTCACCTGCTAGTCAGTTTCTCATGACAGTTACTCAAGCATTTGTAAGGCAGTTGTGGAATAACCAAGACCTTCTGTGTGTTGTGCTACTGATGCTCCTCCTGTCACCGACCTCCTCTGCAAATGAGGCCTGCCTTTTGTCCTTGGTGGTAGGCAGTCCACAGTGTAACCAGCTACAGGGGAAGTATTTACTTTGATAACCACTTGACCTTGATCAAGGCAGGTGACTCATTTATGGATAACATTTTTGAGAGTATACTGAGCCAGGAACCATGAGGATACAAAAGTGGATTATAGTTTCCATTCTGGAGAAATTCACAGTCCAGTAAGTTAAACAATCACAAGAACAAGTTTCCAGCAATGAGAGTGATTGCAGCCACTGAGTGGTGAAATCTAAGGAATGCCACGCCTGCCGCCTATAAATATCTACGTTTATCGCCTGGGCATATACCTCAAATTGCACCATGAGAAATTGATTTCCATGAAATTAGGAACTACCCAGAAATTCTCTATCCAAATAAAAATTCCCACAAGAAAATAAGGATGGCTAATAGTTTTAAGTAGTAGTGCGAAGTCTTTTGGACCAGAGTAACTGCCAGGGATGTTGTGTTGAGGAGGATTCTGAGGTCATGTTCCAGCTTAGCAGAGAAGCGAGCCGCCATGAGGGAAGGAGTGAGGGAGAGGGTAGCACTTGTGCCACATATTTTTCTTAAGTAAAACCTTTGTTAATAGAATGCATGATGAAACAGGAACAGCCATGGTCTCTGGCATCTGGGAGAAAGCCCACTTGGAAACTGATTTATCTGCCTCACTACTGCAAGTTCACTATCTGTCCCCACACTAAATGGCCTTAGGAGGCCCAGACTATCTCTTGCCAAACTCTACCTTCTTTATCCTTCCATACTCTTCAAGAAGAGAAATGGTATATATATGTGGGATCCTTGAGAACTAGGATGTACCTGTGATCAGGCAAAATGTAGCATCTAGCAGGGTCAGGTATAGGTTGAAGTGAGAGAGGTGGCTACTGTGCTCCCCAGTGGCTGTTCTCCCATCTCCCATAGTTTCAAGGCCTGTTTCGTGAAGAACAGCAATATGCCCAGCTCAAAGATGACAGCTGGCCACAGGACTAAGCCTGGCCACTAAGATGTGAGTGGATGCTTCCAGAAAAGGTCTCCAAAGAGGCTACCTCTAGCCAGGCACGGTGGCTCATGCCTGTAGTCCTAGCACTTTGGGAGGCCAAGGCGGTGGATCACCAGAGGTCAGGAGTTTGAGACCAGCCTGGCCAACATGGCAAAACCCTGTCTCTACTAAACATACAAAAATTAACTGGGCATGGTGCCGCACGCCTGTAATCCCAGCTACTCAGGAGGCTGAGGAGGGAGAATTGCTTGAACCCAGGAGGTGGAGGTTTGCAGTGAGCTGAGATGGTGCCACTGCACTCCAGCCTGCATGACAAGAGCAAGACTCCATCTCAAAAAAAAAAGCTACCTCTTCTCTGCTTCTTGGAGTATGGTCATGATAGGTGGAGTTCTAGCATCCAGTGGTAGTTTTCCTTGATTGGCCCCCAGACGATAGGTACTATGACCAAGACCTATGGGGCCATCATGTGTACTTGGCTCCCCATAGGAGAATCCAGGATGGAATGGAATGATACAGTAGGCAGGTTCCGGAGCCAAGATACGGTATAAGTGGTAAAAATAAATGATTCACCCAAGAGGCAGATTAGGCCCATGAAAATTAGAAGGATTGTCTGATGTATTACTTTAATACAGCACTTCTTCAGTATTCCCAGAACTGTAGCTAACGGTTCCTGTGAACAGGAAGCTCCTTGAATATACCCTGGCAAGAAATCTTTCTATCCAAGGTGACTGACTTTGGGAGGGGATTTATTGAGTGTCTCCCCCGAGCCAGGCACTTTCAGATACCTTAATCTTAGTTAACTGGCTTCACTTCAGACCCTGTTCCTAACAGGACAAAACCCGACAGCATTTTAAAAGCCAAAAAGGGATAGTTGATGAGTTGTACTTGTCTCTGTCTCATGTTAGTAACCTCCAAGGAACTCAAAAGGCACTGCAGCTATAATTCAACATTAAAATAGCCCTGGGCCCCCCAGGAGCAGCTCAATAGACCCTACTGAAGTGGGTGGTCCTGTCCCTCCCCTGCTTAAAATCCGTCAATAGCTTCTCATTGTTTTTAGACTAAAAACCCAGCCCACCTGACAGTCAAGTTGGCCTGCTCCCTAGGCTTTCTCCCCAGCCTCTCAAACCTGCTCACAACTCCCTCGGTGTTTGCCACTGTGGCCTCTCACTTTGCTCCTGTGACCTCGTCCCTCTGAGCGCTATTCCTCCCCACCTCTGCATCTGACTTAACCTTCAAGGCCTGGCACAAACAATGCTTTTCCTTTGTCCTTCATACTGGAGACTGGAGATGATAAACTCACATAGATTCTCTCTGAATAAATATTTCCCATGCCAGTTAGCATTTTTTTAAAACTATAATGACTGCAAAATATATTAGGTGTACTCTAACTTATTTAACCTCTGCCCAGTGAATGGACATTTCATTTGTTTCTTTTTCAGGATAATAAAAACAGTTCCAGGATGAAAAAAAAAATTTTTTTTTGTATTTTTAGTAGAGACGGGGTTTCACCATGTTAGCCAGGATGGTCTCTCTCTCCTGACCTCGTGATCCGCCCATCTCGGCCTCCCAAAGTGCTGGGATTACAGGCGTGAGCCACTGCACCCGGCCAGGGATGAACATTTTTATATGCTAATCTTTGTCTGTATCTGCTCCTTTCTATAAAAGGAATCATTAGAATTGGAATATCTAGGTCATTTTGACCAAAAAGGAACATTTTTAAATCTCTTAATATTGCCATATGACATCTTAAAAAGTTTACATCATTTTACACAAATAATTGTTTCCTTATTGATGGTCCAAACCTAGAGAATTTTTGGTCATTCCGTGATCTGTAATTGGACAAATTTCCGTTGCTCCTAGCAGCATTTTATACATACTTATCAAGATGTATTATGATTTATACACACTTATCAAGATGTATTATGTTTTGCTTGCATTTCTCCAAGTAAGCTCTGAAGTGCAAAACAGAACTTGTTTTACTCTTTGTAGCACGATACTGAGAACAGTAACACCTAACAGGCATCAAGGCCCTTTCTAGGTAAATCTGCAGAAAGAGTAATTGTCTCAATCTCAGTTTCCCTGTGATAGA